CAATGATTATGCATGTCAGCACATATGTGATGAAATCAATGTTTTTGTAATCATTGTCCTTGTCATAGATGTCCTTGTCATAGATGTCGTTTTCATAGTAGTCGCTGAGCTCATAGGTTTGGTTTTGTGAGCCGTAATTATTGTAGTAATCTTCCATTCTTCAGAGTGAAACCTGTTGTTTGAGAGATCAGATTATTAGAAGGGAGCAGGTTTTTAATATCTATCTAATATTGTTCTGTGACATCACTAAGCTGTGAGATGCAAGTTCACACAAATACAGTGTACCTATAGTTTAACCACAATCATAGCGAATTTAAAAAACTGCTGTCTTTTCTGTTGATATATTCATAAAGTATTCATGTGAGCAGTTCATATCATCTCTACAAAAGTAAAAAAAATATATATTTTTTAAAGTAATGTAACAAAATTTACCTTTGAAAGATGTGAGACCACCTGAATGAGTTCCCTAAACCAGTCTCTGATGTGTTGTCCTCTGCATCCAAACAGTCAATAAATATGGTGAGTGATAAAATGCAGTAGGTTCCTGTTAATCTGCACCTCCTCTTCTAAGATAGCGTAAAAAGAAGTCTGGCATGAATATGTATTAGGGCCATGCTGGCCAGAGTTTTGCCTTCACCTCAGCTAAAAGTGAGTATGAGCTAAGTTTGAGTATCAAACACTCCCTGTAGGCTTGGAGTGGAAGCTGTACTCAAAACTTGTCTCTAACACCATAAGAATGCTTTCCAATGTGACCTGCTTCCACAGCAAAGCATCAAACTGTCCATTGACATTCAGCACAGCAGCAAAATCCTCTAACTGTTAGTCATCTATGTCCTTAGTATGTTTCAAGCACTGTGAATAATATTCTTACAAATAAGCTACTTAATCAGTCAAATATTTAAGGAATGAGTGAGAACAAATTAATCTGAGTGTAATCGGTCTAAACCCAATATACAACACTGAACAAGTTAAATAATGTCTCCTTTCAAACCTAGGAGAAACAGAAGTTAGTGAATGAACATATGGATGACAGGTGACCTAGTGAAGAAGGCCCACCCACACTAGGTGAAAAAGAAAAGAAAAAGATCACCTTTGTGTTTATTGTGTGTCCTTACAGCTTAGTAATGGTGTATTTTGAACTGCATTTTTAAAATAAATTAATTCTGTGTAAGAATTATATTAGATGCTAAGAGTCAATGCTAGCGTAGCGTTGCTAGCTGCAATTTATTAGCAATGTTAGCAGAAATGTCATTACCACCATGTTTTTACTTCAGCAGACCTTGTGTTGCGGTAGACAGAAGTTCAAGGCAAGCTATATATAAATTATATTGCAAATTATTATCTGAACATAAACATGTTTTTTTTTTACCCTCAATGAGACGAAGTTTTACTGTAAAAAACATATAATGTTATGTGTAAGAAATGACATTTGACACACATTTGTTTTGGTTGTTCTGGTGATATTGAAGTCACTATGACGTGCAGTTTTATAATCTTCAAAAACATCCCTCTGCTTTAGGTCCCAGCCTACCATAACCATATCAGTAGTAGTGCAAGAACCACTGATAATTCACACAACACGGGGGAGGGGGAAACATAATTCCAGTGAACTTGATATTTCTTTTTAGAGAGGCAACAGAGCCGAGTGTCATTCGCAGCGAGCCTGCAGCACTATCAACAAGATGATTGATTTGGAAGAGATTGAAATTAGCATAGGAGTCCTCTGTTACTTTGGGACTTGGTAATGAATTTTTATTCTCAAAATACCCCACTTTTTAACCAGAGCGCTATGAGATAACTGTTGTTGTGATCTGGCGCTATATAAATAAAATTGAATTGAAGATCTCTCCGCCTTGGCTGCCTGAAGCTACACTTTCCCTGTCCTCGTGACTGGAACTTCCACTAACCACAAGAAAACAAAAAGGGGAAAAGAGCACAAGTGTTTGCGGCTATAATTCGGGACTGTCACAAATTTTTCGGAACATCTCGTCGCCCTAGTCACTAACCTAAATTAAAAATGCAATATTTAAGCCGACACAACCAAGCTCAGAGCAAATGAGCCTACAGCAGTGAGCTCAACACCACTGAAGGCCACAACAATGTGCACAGACAACTTTTTAGGGATACAGACCCTTTCTAGAGATGCTTTCCACAGAGATCCCGCAATCAATGTGGAAAGAATTTCAACCAAAATGGCACATTCAACATGTTGCATCCGTGAGTGCTTTCCCACAGCAATCTGGCTCTCCAGGCCATGACTTTTAACACAGACATTGTTCTGGCTGTGTTACTACCGGCTTAGAGGCAGATCAAATCTGACTCCCCTTTCCAGCTCCTTCCCTATACAGCGCAGCGTGCCGGCATATGAGCGTAATTATGAAATAAGGAAAATGAGGTGGTGTGAAAGGCCAATATGACATCAACATTTTGACAACCTGCATGGCCAATGCATTGAGTCTTGGCTGTCCCATGGTATTGCAAGTGAATGTTTCTGGCAACCTTCAGAAAGATGAAGATGAAGAAAAGCACAGGATGGTTTCCCTCAAAGCCAGTGGTGCAGCCGTGCTTATCCGGTCACACGCAGCACTGTCTGTGGCTCTGTGTGGGCTCCAGTGTCCATAAGATGTGTTATGCCCAGCTCGTGGAAGAACATAACAAAGAGGGAAGGTCCACGCAGAAAACAGTTTAAATGAATTATAAGGTTTTATTAAAGTTACTTTAACTTATAATTAACTCAAAACACAAGTAAACTTGAACTCATACTCAAAGCAAACAACCAAAAGAAAAGGAGCTCCTGAAAGGCACCCGCCTTCCAGGAGAGAGGTCGCGATGGAAGAGAGCCATCTTGGTCCACCACAGCTTTTTAAGGACTAAACAGGTGGCTGCAATCACCAACGAGGTGGGTGTGTCCAACCAAACAGGAAGACAGACCTGAAAAGAAAAGGACAGAGAACAGGCCAACCCCCAGGCCCCAGGCCATCACAGATGTTACCTTGCTGTTGGTGACGGTGCTAATCTGTAGCTTTCTGCCGACTAGTAGCCTTCCACAACACAGTACAATGCACAAAACTGTTTAGCGGTGTGACAAACGATTTCATAACCAGCTAGGCTACTAACTGCCTCTGTATACTTAACTTACACTTTTCTTACTTCTGCAGCTGGTCAATACCTTTAGAGAAAAACACACACTTACAGCAGCAGGCTGACTGATTTAACTCCTATCTGCTCTGCTTCTTAGTCCCACCCCTTAACCAATCACAATTTTAGACAAGTGATAGCCATCTACAGAGATAAATCTGGGCCCTCTTACAGTAAACATGATAGTTCGCCATGGCTAGGATTGCAAAATACTTGCAACAACTGTTTTGTGGCAGTTGTCAAAAGCCGTGCCGCCGATGTAATGTAAGTGTATAATGTACATTTGCGATTAAAAATAATGGTTGTTGGTAAATGAATTACTGACCCCCACAGATGCATGATTAAGAGCTCAGACCCTCCTTATGGACCGTAACTAGAACCCTGCTGGACTATGTGGGCTATCAAACTCGAACACACATGCAATACAACATGTATACCTGTATTGATAATTTAGCAAATATCGACTTTTTAAAAATGAACGGAGACAATAGCCTACTGTAATAATACTTTTACTTTAGTCACTGTACACACACACAGATTACACAGTTAGAAAAGGAATTGGCAGCAGTGACTGATTTGCATTATCCAAAACATTTTTTAAAAGTCTGAATGCATGGGTCTTGGCATGTTCCATCAAAATATCTACCACTATCAATATTTGTTATCTAAATCACGAAAATTAGGATATGCCAAGAGTGGCTGTGGTGAGGAGTAATATCTTTATGTGGATAACTGTTTAAATAAGTGTGTGTGTGTGTTAAATATCTCACTGCTCCAAAACAGTTGATTCAAACTATCAACTCGTTCTGAAGCCTGAAGCTGCTTCGAGCAGCTGTGTTGAAGCAGGGAGAGATTAAATCATGCAGGACAGGGGGTAACTTTCTTCAGGAAAGGGTTGGGAAACACTGTAGTACATAAACTTAAATTCAACTAAGATCAATTCATACACCCCGCAGAGTCTTTGCACACCGTTTAAGTGTGAAAAGCTACATCGAACGGTCTAAACGATTTAACAATTTTATCTTCTTTTAGACAAATAACTAACCTGAGCGTCGTCAACATGTTAAGACAAATGCAAAGCTATGCCCTTGCAACATGCTTTACAAAAAACAAATACACAGTAGCTTCATACAGTCTATGATTAACGTTAGCTTATGTTACCAAAAGGGTAAAAAAGCCCATCCTGCTAGCCACCGTTGGTGTAGCCTAACGTTACCTATTGTAGCAAGACGAGGGTGTGATTCTATTTAAATACATAATAACTTAGATAAGTTGCCAACAACGCCACCTGGGGAAATTCACCCTAGGAAATACTGATAAGTCACACAGGTTCGCATGAAATAAGGCCAGGGCAGAGTGTGTTTCACATTTAAACAAATAATTTTATTAACAAAATGCTAATTAGAAACAACCACACCAAAAGTAACTTAACAAAAAGAAGAAAAACATTCCAACTACATATACCGATTAAGAAGGCATGCCATTACTGGATAAAATTATGGGCCTAATAATTTAATATACAATATACTATTTAAAATACAGGATAAAGCAAAACACCAAAAATGAATCAAAACATGCAAATTAATTCAAACAAACCAAAATGAAAAACAGAAAGTTAAAAATAAAACACACACACACAAAATGCCAACTTTACAAACTAAATATACAATAATTAGACCCAACCAACAAAGAGATGCTAAAACCAGCAAGCCCGCTTAGAGCCAAGACAGATCACTGAAGGGAAGATTTAGCACCATTATATTATATTTCGCATGGTATGTATTCAATCAAATGGAATACAATACGAAAGACATGCATACATACCCCCAAAGTTCCACAGCGCACACACATAATAAGCCACAGGCCAGATCGAGACAGCCCGCACAGCAAACGATTCACTCCTAAACAACCAAGGGAGCATTGTGTTGAACCGCGATGCACTACCCGCACACAGCAGACAGTTCCATCAGCATGCAAGCAGACAGCACACTTACCACACGGACCGAGAGGTCCGAGGTTGTCAGGGCACCAGTGCAGTGCCATATAGTGTTGGGAGGGAGAAACGCATCACGTTATGTCCTGTGGGGATGTAAAAAACTGACCGGCCTGACAGTGGAGGTCTGCAGTTGGACCCCTCTCGGAAATGTTGTCATCATTCATACTGATGGACTGCTGATATCATTGCTATCCATTCTGCAACAACACACAGAGGCCAAAAGCTTGTCTATGGTCCCTTTCCTCATGAAGACATACAGGACTAAGTCTGCAAGAGGACTGAACCTAACAAAAATGAGAGACAGGGTGGTGAGTATATCCTCATATATGTCATACATGTTGTATATGCATAATTTTAGGAAGTTAAGGATGATGGGCAGGAACAGCAACGTGTATATAAGCAGCACCAGAACCAAAATTCCCACAATTCGTCGTTTTTCATCAGAGGAGACCGAGATGGAAGCAGACAGGGCTTTGAAGGTCCCAACCAGGAAGAAGATTAACAATGGGAAGGGAAGGAGTAGATAGATGACGATGGCCATTTGTGCCTGATCTATGAAAGAGAAAGCGAAGATAAAGACAAAAGGTTGGACCCACACTACAGCACAGAGCGCCACAGAGGTCTTGATGGTTCGTCTGAAGCGGTACCACAGCGGGTGGACGATGACCAAATACCTGTAACACAAGATGGACACAAAGTCTTTGAGGAGCTTCAGAGTTATAAACTAATATAATGTTCAGACACAGAAGGAGCTACACACATACTGGATAGACAGATACCTTTCCAGGGCGATGCAGACCATGAAGCCAACACTGGCAAACAGACCAAAGAAGTAAAATAGACCGGAGACCATTTGTATTGCTTTATGCTCAGGTTCAGACACCTCAACAATCATGTAGCAGAACTGAAGGAGGTCGGAAATGAGAAGGTTGATGACGAAGATCGGAGCAACCTGATCACTTTGCACCTGCAGGAAAACATTGGTAAAAGTAAAGAAACTATGTATATACAGTATTTAACTAAATAAAAAACAATGCAAGTCTATCCAGACTTTTAACTAACAGCATATTCATAACAGCAGCAATGAGTGTGGTTTTTACAAAACATAAAACTCTCTCCCGACTAGTGCATGCATCACTGGCAGTGAGTTTACATTTACTAATTTTTAATCCAAAGCAATTTATTATTGCTACACATCAGAGATCACACGCCTCTGGAGCAACTAGGAGTTAAGTGTCTTGCTCATGGACACATTTGTGGATATGTTGCAGTGGGAATTGAACTCAGGTCGCTCAAACGAAAGGCATGTGTCTTATCCACTGCTCCATCGCCACCTAGTTGCTTTCTGTAAGTTTTACATTGCAATGCCGCTTTAGCAGATGCAATAAATTAGATGTAGAATTGTATGCAGTTCAAAGCTTTTTGCTGGTCTCACAATGTTAATCTATTTATTTATCTATTTATTTAAAAGGGACAGTGTATATTAATGAACATAGTGGCTTTTTGGTTATGCAAATATGCCAGATTAGGCTTTTTTTCCATCTGTAGTCTTTGGCAGGTCGTTACAAGATCAATAAAAAGACAACATAATAATTTTAATTTATGGTGATGCTGCAATGGATGCCTTTGGTGTGAGAGACCCGGGTTCGAATCCACTGTGAGAAACCAATGTGTCTCTGAGCAATACACTCAGAGACACAATGCAATATAAAAATGTATAAGCGATTGAAATAAAATGATCCTCGAGTTTATCCTCGAGGTGAAAAGATGCCACATTTAAAGAGACTTTCCCTGAACAAAGACACAACAAAGAGGGAAGACTAAATCATGAAAGAAAAAAAGTACAGAATGTTTGAAAGAGAGAGACCTACTGAATTATATTCTGGTATATTTTATATTTTAAATAGTCACCTGCTGCCTGAGTTTTGTGGATAGCCTAGATTAAAACATTTCCTCCATAAATTGATGCAGAAAAGGCAAGAACTGGTGCAGAAATGTTCTCCAGAGTGCAGGAAATTAAGTGTTTAATGCTAAAAACCTACACTCTTGCTTATTATGAACTAACCTATAATATTCTATACATTCTCTAGAATTAAAAGAAATACAGTCTCTGGTTTTGACACATAGATTCTGGGGAAGGAAGATTCCCCGATACATGGTTTGGTCGACATCATGTCTGGAGTATCCTGATCACACTGATCTGACCATGATTATGAACTTGGCTTTTCATCTACACATGCATATGGCTGTGACATGCGCATTAAAGAGTGATGACCCCGACCCATGTGGTGGGTTATGACACAGAAGGCCTAAAATGGATCAATCTCCAATACCGAATCTCACTCCAAACTAAATTGAAAAGTTGGCAGCCCTGGTTTATGTTTCCTGTAAAAACACAATGCTAGGAAGGGATTTGTCGCAGATATTGATAGGCGTGTATCCAGTAGTTGAATGTGGTTACGCTCAAAACCTCTTCATGCAGGCTGATTCCAGCTCCCGGCTGCCGGACCCAGGATCGCACACAGCCTCCGAGACCAATGGAGGCCAGTTTGATCGCTACGAATAGAGTACGAGTGGTTTTCTTGCCGGTTTGGCTCTTGGCTGAGTCAACTAATGAGGCTGTGTTTGGTCCTGTTCATGCCATGTTCACTGGGAGGCTCCTGAGCGCAGTTTTGTTGCCTGCTCGCCCGGCGCCTCTCCATCAGGGAACCCCATACATGACAGAGTTGAAGTAGAGCAGCTGGGGAACACAGAGCTGCCAACGCAATTGACACTTTTTACATGCCCTCACGCCATACATCAATTTTCTAAAACTAATGTAGCCTACAGTCTAAATAACGGCGTCGACTCCGTAAGATGACACTTCACTCAGCTGATGCGACACTGGCAGACGCTGTGACGAGAATCAAGCAAACCTGCTCTAGCGCAATGTGTGTCAGACAGTTTATGATCGGGTAACGTAGCTGGTACAGGTTTGCAATAAAAAAATGTATAATCCAAAGCACAGCCTTGCTCTGTTGGGAATGTGAGATGCACGGAGCTGCTGAAGTTAACATGTGTTTTCAGCATCGTTTTGCACAGGTGTTGCGTATCTACTCTTTGTTACTAAAGTCATGAATAATAATATTCAAGAATATTATATCACAAGCACTTGTTGGGGCACCATAATTATACCTCTGAGGTTGGTCGCATCTTACTTTTACATGTTAGCATGCTAAAATCTACTAATTAGTAATAAAGTACAGTTGAGACGGAATGTCATTAACTTTGCAGGTATTAAGTTATAAATCAAATTAACAGACATTTATAAAAAATAAAAAAAAAGGTCAGAGGATCACTAGTGTTATTATAATTCAACATCTGGACTCCATGAATGTCTATATAATTTTTTGTCAATCCACTACTTGTCAAAAACATAATTTGAGCCCAAACAATGCTGCACAAACTGCTCTGAAAACTAATTTTTCTTTTTCTTTAAGTTGTTAAGGCTGGATTGAGCCACATATGTAAACTGCATGTGTTTAGGGTCCAATCAGTTGAAGTAAATTATTCTTGTAAATATATAGGTCATTAAAACCTTTTGTACTAAAATACTTTACAGACAGACACACGACATAGACTGGAAATAAATAAATATTTCATAATGTACATACCATATAATAAAGAGCATAGATGGCCATGAGGCTCAAGGGAAGACCGATGGCGATTATTATGTATGTCAGCACTTGCATGATGAATGGAACTTCTTTGTAATACTGCGTGGTGTTGAAGTTGCTGTTATAGTAGTCAGTGGTGATGTTGCTGTAATTATAGCTTTGATCCTGTGAGGTGTTGTTAATGTAGTAGTCCTCCATTCCTCTGAGGGAAACCCGTTTGAGAGGTCAGGTTATTAAAAGGGAGCAGGTTTTTTAATATCTACATCATTCAGTGACATCACTCACTCAAACTGTAAGGTTCAAGTTTTGTAACTTGTGTCTTTTTAGTTTTTAATAGTCATATAAATATTAAATTAATATTCATTTTCATGACTGCAGTTCTCATCATCTCTACATAAGAAAAATGAATGTAAACAATTTACCTTTGAAAGCTGTGAGACTCCACCTGAATGAGTTCCCTACACCAGTGTCTAATATGTTGTCTTCTGCATCCAAACAGTCAGTAAATATGGTGAGTGACAACATGCAGTAGGTTCCTGTTAATCTGCACCTCCTCTTCTAAAGGAAGTAAGAAGGGCACAAATATGCAGGGCCGTCCTGTTGGCTAGAGTTTTGAAATAATTTCTGATAGACATTTTTTTTAACAGTTTCAGACATCATAATAAATGGTGCACAATATTTTTTAACAAATGAGAAACGATATGAGAATGTTTTACACCACAGCTACCAGAACAGCAAAATTGAACACCAACATACTGTCATTTAAGGCAGCCAAAGCAACAACACAGTTGACTGCATTAAAGTAAATATTGACACTCCTTCAAGGGGACACAGTGGGGGAATTAAAAGGAAATGAAATGAAATCACACTAATAGAATTAATCAAATGAATCAGTCTTAGTACCTGACTTGTAATACTCTCAATACGTTGATCCTAGTTCCACTTTTGAAGAAATACTTGGTGATACGTGAAAAAATGTATGCATAGCTAAATGTTTTTTTACCAAGTGAGAAAGGTGAATTAATGAGGTGTTGACAATGATTAATGATTATTGCATGAAATCAAGATCAGAACAGATGTAGGGAATAGATTGTTTAAATTGCAATGTAGATTGTTGTCCACTTTGGTGATAGCGAAAAGGAGTAAGTAATTTCAGATATCAGAGGAAATGAGTGAAGGCTTGATCCATCCATCCATCCATCGTCAACCGCTTATCCTGCGTACAGGGTCGCGGGGGGCTGGACCTCATATGCCACCCGATGACTTAGATGATTGCAAAAGCTGCCATAAGAATTATTCTTGGCAGTTTGTAGGCAGGCGCTGTGCATGATTAATCTTGATCTGTAGGCTGGTAGCTGTTGTCACGACGAATAGAAACTGACTGAAATACAAAAAGCTAAACAGAATAAACTTGACTTGCTTTCACTAAAGTTAAAATACAATTTTAGAAATAAACTTTTAAAATAAGAGAAATCTCAGGAGAAATAATAAATTTAAGAGGTGCAGCACTTAGAAACATCTTAGGTACTGTATATAAAGAGAAGAGTGATGGTTTTATCTACCATGGATCAGAGGATGATAAGCAGATTTTCTATCCAGCTTGCTGTGTGGAATAAATTCATGAACGGACAATTTATTTATTCTACATCATATTTGGACTGTTCTTCAAGAAAACATGTCTTTAATAGTGTTGGCTAAATTGATTGATTAGTTAACTTATACATTAATACACATTTGGTTGACAAAAGGGCTTTTTCCAAGTAATTTCTTCAGGAATGCATCCAAAGATTTATGTCACATCTGCAGACATCTGTCACTGGAGTGAGAGAAAGAGTGATTTTACCTGTGTGTGTGTGGCAACTGAGAGATATAAATATGTTACAGCCAGTTGAATTAAAGAAAGCTTGATTGTCTCAGCTATGCTGTTAAAGGTCCCATATTATGCAAAATGCCCTTTTCAGAGTATTTTCAACATAAATATGTGTCACATTGTGAATCTCAATGTATCTCTTATCATACACCTTGCATGTTAATATCGCAAAAACATCATGTAACCAAATTCAAGGTTATTGTGGCTAGAAGTGGGTTACTCATAGCCGGACTAAATTGGGTCTATAGTTAACCCAGACAGTGAAATGACAACTATTGCCTGCTTGGTAGTGACTATAGTAACTACTAAGAACAAGTAAAGCTGTCCATTCGAAAAACTTCATAAATCGATGAAAG